AATAAATAATGCAATTTTAGAGTGTGTGGATGTATCTATTTATAGTTTTGGCTCCTAGCATTTTCTATATATTCTTTGAAACCATAATCAAACCTACATCTGTATAGATAGAGAGAGCTTTAAGATTTTCGGCTTTAATGTGTAATAATGAGTTGTTCTTTTGGCATCGATCTATATTATCAGATGGTACCTATGCCTTTTTGGGAAAACTGTCATTGATTTTATAATGCAGACAGTTGAATTATCCTGCAACTTGTAAATTCTTGATAGTTGATACACTATCAACTGTGTGATATTAAATTGCCTCAAGTACCAATAGTTTTGTTCTTCTATTCTACATTTCTACCTTTCTAGCAGGACACAACTACACGCTGTCCATTGTTGCGATGTGTAAAAGTGCAGTCTTCACTATATTGCATGCATCATGCATGAAATGAAATTACAATTAGGGATGGACCTGGGCCGGGCCTGGGCCGGGCCCGGGCGGGCTTTTTTTCCAGATTGTTGGGCCCGGAACCGGCCCGGGTTGATACCAGGTCTGGGCCTAACTGGGCTGGACCGGGCCCGGGTCTATGTAATTTTTTTGCTTTCTAATTATCCCCCGAGCCCCCCCCCCCTCAAACCTCCCCAAAACACCCAACCCTACCCAAAGAAAAAAAATTGAAAAAACCAAAAAAAAAAAAAAGAACCGGGCCCGGCCCGAACCGCCTGGGCCGGTTCAACTAAAAGAGGGCCCGAGTCCAGCCCGCCAGGCCCGCTCACACGGGCTAAAAGCCCGGAATCAGCCATCTGGTCCCGGTCCGGTCCGGGCCCGCACAGTAGTGGGCCAGTCCGGTTCACGGGCCGGTTTGGCCCGGTTCGGTCCATCCCTAAATACAATGTAGTCATTGTTATCATGGAACTTTTCCGATTGAAGGAACTTGAGTGTTTACAACAAATTGTTAACTTCGGAAACAATTTTATTACATACGATTTGAATTTAAAGCTTAAAAGTAATTTGTCTACCGCATAGGCGCATTTAGGTGTTGGACATTTAAAGTATGGGAACCAAATTGTTTTGTATACATATTTGTGAATAGGGATGGACTTGGGCCGGTCTGGGGCTGACCGGGCTTTTTTTTGGGGAAGTGAGGTCCGGAACCGGCCCGGGTACCTACCGGCTCCGGTTCGGGCCGGGCCACCCGGCCGGGTAGCGGGTTGGGTATAGGGTGGGGCCGGTCGGGCCGAACCGGGTATTTTCTTCAAATTAATTCAAGAATGGTTGGATATAAAAAAGTTAAAATATATTTATTTGAAATATGTAGTGCAAGTGAGAATTGAGAAAAATTAAAAACATGAAATACATTTTCTAATAAATAATAATCAATCAGAATCTTCACCATCTTCGGTTGTTTTCTCCATAAAGTGGCGGGTGGGGGTGATGCACACTTAGGGATGGACTCAACCGGGCCGGCCTGAGCCGGCCCAGCCCGCTACTGTGCGGGCCCGGACCGGGACCGGTTGGTCGGTCTCAGGCTTTTAGCCCGTTTGGGCCGGTCGGGCGGGTCGGGCTCGGGCCCAGTTTTGGGCGAACCGGCCTAGGTCATTTTTTTATGTTTTTTCAATATTTTTTCTTTTCCTAGGGTAGGGCTGGGTGTTTTGGGGAGGTTTGGGGGTGGGGGTGAGGGGGGGGGGGTCGGGGGATAACAAGAAAGCAAAAAAAAAATAAAAAAAGTTAGATATTGAATCGGGCCCGGCCCGACCCGGTTAGGCCCAGACCTGGTATCAACCCGGGCTGGTTCCGGGCTCAAGGATTTGCAAAAAAAGCCCGCCCGGGCCTAGCTCGGAACCGAAACCGGACCGGTCCGGGTCCATCCCTATGCACACTTCTTGCGTTCTACGTTTCGCCTTCAACCAATTGTCCAATTGTGAAAGCAAACAAGCGTCTCAAGAGAGTTAGCGCTCAATCTCGTTCTATAATCTGTTAGCACGTTGCCGGTCGCACAAAATTCTTGTTCCACGGCAACTGTTGATATCGGCATTGCCACCACTTGCTTTGCCATCTTTGATAAAATCGGGAACGTTCTTTTTTTGTCCTTCCACCACTTTAGAATGTCAAAGTCATCCTCTTCTTCATAATGAACAGGAATTGTTAAATACAAAGAAAGCTCGTTAATCGAGCTTTGTTCATTAACGGGAGTTGATTTACTTTTTTCTAAAGATTGCCAAATTCAGATTTAAAAAGTGATTTTCCTTTAGATGAAGAAGTTGTTCGTGTTGGGGGAGGGGGTGTGTGACCATATTGTGAATCAAACTCATTAAATAATTGATATAATAAATTATTAACCTCTTGGATTTCTTGTTTAGGGTCTATGGACTTATTCTCGTACATAGGAAATGGACCAAAAAAAGAAGCATAATAGTGATCTAAAGTCTAAACAATGCCCCCAAAGAATCAAGTCTACGATGAGGATAAAAAATAAATGTAATATCATATATATGCGGAATATGTGAATAATATTTTAAAACTTCTCTTTCATGCACAAACAAAAATAATTAACGTAAAGGGTATCGGAAAATTAACAAAAAGCGCCCGCGAGATTAACAGCTTCAACAAAAAATTGGTTTGCGGTAGGTGTATAAACATGACTAAAAGTTTGAGTTGCATAATTAAAAAACACCAAAACATTCACAATTTTTTCCATAGTGTCGATGTCGGCCGGGTTTATAATATAGTTAGCATATTCTTTTAAAAAAGCAGGAAAATGGTCTTTAAATCTAATAAGTACAACAATTAAGTTATAAGTACTATTCCAACGAATAGATAAATCTTTAGGAAAAACACATTACTTGACACGTCTATCCCTCAAATATTGACGCCATCGCATTTTTAATTGATTACTAGCCCAAATAAGTCTAATCCCCCCTTCACTACCTCCATAGTATCTCCCAACGTGACTAACTCGTCTTTTATATATAAATTTAAAATATGACATGCACAACGATGATGAGAAAACTGACCCATCAAAGTAGAAGAACACATAATTCACGCAATCTAGGTATATCAGCAATATTATTACTAGCATTATCTAAACCCATAGCAAACACCTTATCAATCAAATTGTACTCAATTAAAATACGCTCAAGCAGAATATAAATATTATCAACGGTGTGTCAATCATTAAATTCACGAAAAGCAAGAACACGTTTATGCATTTCCCAATCACCATCAATATAATGTGCACTCACACCCAAATAATATAAATGATGATGAGTATTTTTCCATATATCACTACAAATTCTAACACGTCCATCAAAGTTTGCGAAAAATATTTGTAATTTTTTCTTTTCCAAAACATATTGCCTTATAACCAGTGGCGGATCTACCATGTTAGTTGTAGGTGTTCAAATTTATTTTTAAAATTTTAGGTGTTCAAATTTATTTATAAAAAAAATCTAGAAAATTTATATATGTATTTTTATACACAAAAAAAAATCTTTGAGTGTTCACAAGAATACTTTTGAACATATATAGGTCCTCCACTGTTTATAACTTCTTTTTTAATCGGTTTGTGACTATAGTTTCGGAATTGAGAATTTAAAGTACCTGCAGCATATTCTTTTAAAGCAAGACTTTCAGAAAAAATAAGGCAAATCTTTTTCAACAATTACGTGAGACATACCAGTCAAATGTCTTTGATCATCATAGGAGAAATTACCAAAGGGTTGACCAGTTCCAAACCTCGTTATTTAAGTTTGCTTCCCCTTGCTTTTGTCTATTTTCGCATACGTCACGGGGTGCTTGGACTGAAGATGCCTTTTCAAACTATCGTATCCTCCGGAGATTCCCAAGCTATAGACTTTAGAGCAATGTTTGCAATGTGCATACCATTTTTCGGTTTTCAAGTCTTTCACCTTTGTATAATTGCCCTCAATAACTGGTGATATACCTTTCTTAGCGGGTTGAGATGAACCAGCCTCGTCCTCGTCCTTGGCCTAATAGGAAAATGAGAAATGTATCAATTACCTAATAGGAAAATGAGAAATGTGCCAATTCCAACTAATTAACTAATATCTATATCTATATCTATATCTATATCTATATCTATATCTATATCTATATCTATATCTATATCTATATCTATATCTATATCTATATCTACATCTATATCTATATCTATATCTATATCTATATCTATATCTATATCTATATCTATATCTATATCTATATCTATATCTATATCTATATCTATATCTATCTATATACTCCCTCCGTCCCAAAATGAACTTCTCATTCACTATTCTCATGGTCAACTTAAATTACTCTTAATTTTATATTTTATATATCAATATTTTATCAAATTTATATTTTTTATCAGCCTTTGTAGCGGTTTCAATGTAGTTTCTCAATATGTAAATTTTATTTACTAAAAGTAATCTGAGTATAAACAGGGATCGAGTTACTTTATCGTCGGTCAAGCATCGTAATTCGAAATGGAAAGTTAATTTTGGGATGCAGGTATATTAATTAAGTGAACTAAGTTTAGCATTTAGTTTCCCGCTCACATGTAGGGGGTATTTAGGTAACTAAGAACATCTTCAATGCTACAATGTGCACATGTGGCATAAGAGAGATAGATACAAAAGATTGATCTTATGACATTTCTCTCGTTATCTTTTCACGATGTTGTGTGTTTTTGGTAAGTTTTACTCTGCAATGTCAACCATAATGTCTACATCTAGACATTATGTTTGACATTGTGAACAGAAACTTACCAAAATGATATAATGTCCTTTATATAAGGAGGGAGAAATTGTAGGTATCTTCCACCTTCTTTCTTGGAAGTTGCCAAGAGACACCTTAACATGGAGGCACCTTCTTGGAAAGAGCTCTCCAACAAATAGGTGTGGGAGAAGATATGGAGATAACTAGGAAGCTTGGATGCAACTTCCTCATGTCTCCAAACCAGCCCTATAAATAGAGTGCTCCATTGTTGTTCATAGTATCAGTTTAGAAAGTGAGAAAAGTGTGTGAAGAGTGAAATACACTTAGTGTAGAAGTGTATTGGTGAGGATTGGTTTTTTGTAATAGTTGAGTGTGAGAGTTTGCTCCTCCTATTGTAATTCTGTTCTTGATATTGAATAGAAGAATTTTCCAATCCCAACAAGTGGTATCAGAGCGAGGTTGAGTTTCCATACACTGCTTTCTCATTTTCATATAAATTTCTACAGGTTAGAAAATCGTGATTTTTCAAGTTGCTCGGAATCAGGATCTGATCATATCGTTAGATTCGTCTCGGCGAGACGAGAAATCTGGTATTTTTGGGGATTTTTTTGGCCACCGGAAGAGGCCGTACGCGCCGCCGGAAAACTGCCTGCATCATCACTGCGTCATCACGCAGTCCAGAGGAAGAAGACGATCCACGTCAGCTGCCACGTCATCGCCACGTTGGACCACGTCAGCGACACGTGGTACCGAGTCATCCGCCACGTCATCCACCCGAGCCGTCCGCTGTGAGCCAACGTCAGACGCCACGTGGCTACACGTCATCGCCACGTCAGCGAGGGAGCAGAGCCGCGTCATTTGCCTGTTGGGCTGCAGTCTGGGCTGCTGCCTGAACCGGACCGAACCGGTTCGTGCTTTTGGAGGCCGGTTCACGCGTTTCCAGACCAGTTTTGGACGAGGTCAGACCGGTTCTTACCATTTTCGTCCATTGCGGATCCAACGGTGAGCTCCGTTTGTCCAAATTCGGCTTCGAAAATAAGGTACGAGATATATAGAGCGTTTTATTATGGATAAATCATCGTCGGACACCATGATTGCGCTCACATCCACAAACTACAATATGTGGAAGCCTCGGATGGAGGATTTGCTAAATTTGAGGGATTTAGCGGATCCTCTTGATAATAATGGTGTGAAACCGGATAAAAAGACGGATGAAGAATGGACAAAAATGAATCGAAAAACTGTCGCACAAATTCGACAATGGATAGATCATAGTGTGTTCCACCATGTTGCTCAAGAACAAAGTGCTTACACACTATGGGAGAAGCTTGGTAACATGTATCAAGCAAAAACCGCCCGAAATAAGACGTTACTAATGAGGAGATTAGTAAACCACAAATTACGTGGGGGTATTTCGGTGTCAGAACACACCAGTCAATTCCAGGATCTTGTGAATCAGTTGAGCACCACCGGATGGGTTCTCAAAGATGAAGAGCAGGCGATACTACTCTTGAGCTCTCTACCTGACAGCTGGGAGACTCTTGTTGTCACTCTCAGTAATTCTGCTCCAAATGGGAAGGTGACTATGCAGATGGTCACAGATGCCCTGATGAATGAAGAAGCCCGAAGGAAGGAAGCCGGGACGGAACAATCATATGTCCTCATATCAGAAACTAACAGACGAGGGGGAGGCAGAAATGGAGGAAGAAGTCGAGGTCGAGGTAGAGGTCAAGGTCAAAGTAGAGGAAATTCTCAAGTTCGCGGAAGATCACAAGAGAGAGGCATGTCCTTTGAAAACAATACTTGGTTCGAAGGATATTGCAATTACTGTAGTATATATGGACATAGGAAAAGAGATTGTAGAAAGTTTCTACGAGAGAAGCCACAAACGAGTCAAAATACTAGCCAAGAAGATGGTGAGACCATGGTTAGTTTGTCATCAGACGTGTGTCTTGTTACACATGGTGAACAAGAATGTTTACACGTAGGCACTCATGATGTTGAGTGGGTGATTGATACAGCCGCATCATTTCACGCCACTCCACACCAGAACTTATTCACAACTTATAAGTCCGGAGACTTTGGAGCTGTGAAGATGAGAAACACCAGTTTCTCGAAGATTGTTGGCATTGGTGATGTGCACATAATAACCAATGTCGGATGCGCACTTGTGTTGAAAGATGTTCGACACGTTCCGGATCTTAGATTGAATCTTATCTCCGGTACAGCTCTGGATCAACAAGGATATCTTAACCGATTCAAAGAAGGTACGTGGAAGCTATCTAAAGGTTCCTTGGTTGTTGCAAGAGGCCATATTTGTGGCACTCTTTATAAAACTCATGCAAAGTTGTGTCATCCGAGTCTCAATGCTGTTGAAGAAGAGATATCACCAAACTTGTGGCACCGGAGGTTAGGTCACTTGAGCGTGAAGGGATTGACAACTCTTGCAAAGAAGGAAGTCATTTCCATGGGCAAAGGTGTTGCCCTAGATTCATGCGAGCACTGTCTATTTGGGAAACAACACAAGGTTTCCTTCAGTTCTACCAAGAAGAACCATACAGAGTTACTCAGTCTTGTCCACTCTGATGTATGTGGACCCATTGAAGAGGAGTCACTTGGAGGAAGCAGATACTTCGTGACATTCATTGATGATGCATCACGAAAGGTATGGGCCTACTGTTTAAATCGTAAGGATCAAGTGTTTGATCGATTCAAATCATTTCATGCCATGGTAGAAAGAGAAACAGGGAAGAAGCTGAAGTGTCTGCGTTCAGACAATGGAGGAGAGTACACTTCCCGAGAATTCTCAACATATTGTGCCGCATATGGAATCAGACATAAGAAGACGGTTCCACGAACTCCGCAACACAATGGTGTAGCCGAAAGAATGAATCGGACCATTATGGAGAAAGTTCGTTGCATGTTGAGTCTGGCTAAGCTACCTAAGCCATTTTGGGGTGAAGCTGTGCTCACAGCTTGTTATCTTATAAACAGGTCACCTTCTGTTCCTTTAAACTTTGAAGTGCCAGAGAAGAAATGGTCAGGAAGAGATGTTTCTTACTCTCACTTGAAAGTGTTCGGGTGCAAGGCATTTGCACACGTGTCCAAGGAGTTGAGACAGAAGCTTGATCTCAAGTCAAACCCATGTATCTTCATCGGCTATGGAGATGAAGAATTCAGATACCGGTTGTGGGATCCCGAAGTGAAGAAAGTTATTCGAAGCAGAGATGTTGTATTTCATGAAAACGAGTTTCATGGGTGTGCTCCAATAATCCGCCAACAACATACTCCAGAAGACGAAGTGCCTGTATCATCAAACATTCCTCTCAGCGACAAGGAGATGCATGATTCTACTGAACACGAGAGTGATGGTTCAGCAGGTGATAATGATACTCACAGTGATGATATTCCTCAGCAGGGGGAGCCTTCATCTGAAGACGAATCTGAAGGTATTCATGTTCGACGTTCTATGCGAGGCATAGTTCCACAAAGAAAATACTCCACATCCGAATGGATACTTGTTGCCAGCGAGGGGGAGCCAGCGAGCACCGCAGGAACGAGAGAAATAAAGAAAAAGGTGGAGGGGGAGATTTGTAGGTATCTTCCACCTTCTTTCTTGGAAGTTGCCAAGAGACACCTTAACATGGAGGCACCTTCTTGGAAAGAGCTCTCCAACAAATAGGTGTGGGAGAAGATATGGAGATAACTAGAAAGCTTGGATGCAACTTCCTCATGTCTCCAAACCAGCCCTATATATAGAGTGCTCCATTGTTGTTCATAGTATCAGTTTAGAAAGTGAGAAAAGTGTGTGAAGAGTGAAATACACTTAATGTAGAAGTGTATTGGTGAGGATTGGTTTTTTGTAATAGTTGAGTGTGAGAGTTTGCTCCTCCTATTGTAATTCTGTTCTTGATATTGAATAGAAGAATTTTCCAATCCCAACAGAAATGTTAATTATTGTTTTTTGATTGGCTATCTCTCATGACACGTATACACCGTTAACGTACTAGCATTAGATTGCCACACGAAAACTAACTTCCTTAATTAGTTAGTATTATCTCCCAAATCTCACTCTTTTCAATTGTTTTTTCATTAAATTCTTGATATTCCGTATCTACCAATTTAGAATTTGATCTGAATTTCCGTCTAAAATCCAAGATTCAGACTAATGCAGTTTCTCTCTTTCCTTCAATACAATACATACTCAAGAGTGTGAATTGTTTGATAATAAAGTTATCAATAGAAACAATTTAAGTGAACTTGCATAAGCTTGGAGCTACTAAACGATTTCTTGGTGCTCAGAGTTTTATCATTTATATATTCACACTTCCATCCTCTAATCTCACTTCGTTCAAGCCTTAGCATAGATAGCATCAATTGCTTCTGCCTCTTGCTGGATAGTTCCACTCTAGCAACACGCTTCACTACTTCACCGATCCTTCACAAATTCTACTCCCGCGATTCTAAGCTCCTTACTTTGGCTCTTCTGATTGTTTTGACCTTCTACATATCAGCTGTGCGATTAGTGTCAGATCCAAAGGTGCAATACTTTTGATATTGAGATACATAATCTACAAGAACATGTTGATTTAGGAGAACATTGTTGTGATTCTTCAAGAAGTTCAATTTGTTTTGAACATCTCTTTGTACTTGGCGTTTGTTGGTTGATATTGTAATTAAAACGAAAGGGAATATGATTCTTTTTATTATGTGATATGTGGATTGTTCATTATCATGTGTAGCCCTAATCTCATTGTTCCATGTATATATGTGAATGGAAAGTAGGTGATTTGGTTTCGAACCCTTTTAATCTTTTTAAAAGTAAGAGTTGAACTTTCTTCTCTTTCCAAACACATCATTTTTACATCTACATAGTAATTTTTGTAGTGAATAATATTGGTTGTTACAATGATAGCTTTAAATCGAAAGTAAACTTATTAATATTAGATTAAATTGAGCCTTCCTAATTGTAAATATGGGCTAAGGGCTCTACTTAATCTCTTGCTATCGTATGTATATATAGGGGCTTAGGCTAATCGAAAAAGGGGACTGAATTTGACCAATTAATAAAATATTTACTTCCTAATTTGAGATGGTATCAGAGCATCGTAGGTCTGCGTCGCATCTGTGACCTCCGCGGAAAGCACCGGCGTGCCAGAAGCAGAGTCTCAACATGAGCGATCCAACCTCCGTTTATTATTTGGGTTCCGGCGATCAACCAGGTAACCAAATTACTCATGTCATCTTTAAAGGGGACAATTATGTGGCATGGTCTCGGGCAATTGCATTAGCGCTCAAAGCTCGCCGGAAATATGTGTTCGTCAACGGAGCAGAGACAAAGCCGACCACCGCAGCACAACTATCCAACTGGGAAACAGTGAACTCTATGGTTGTTTCGTGGTTGCTGCGATGTATGGACCCGGCGTTAGCAGCTTTGATCTCGTTCCATGACGAAGCACGAGCGCTGTGGTTGTATCTGGAAAATCGGTTCAGCGTTGCCAACGGCCCGAGGCTGCAACAGCTTCGTTCCTCTATCACAAACTGCCGGCAGACAAAAGGAATGACAATGGACGGATACTACACGACATTGATGAGTTATTTTGATGAATTAAACAGGTTGAAGCCCTTGCATGTGTGTACTTGTGGCCACTGTACCTGTGGACTTGCTGCAAAGTTTGCGGCCGATAGAGATGAAGAAAAATTGCATCAATTCTTAATCGGAATTGATGATGAAGTATACGGGATGGTTCGGTCCAATCTGCTCTCCTATACTCCGTTGCCAGACTTGAATAGGGCTTATCAAGCCTTCATCCAAGAAGAAAACTCGCGGGCAGTAGCACGCGGAAAGGCCATTGAACTTGGTGCCCAGGCATTTGCACTACAAGCTGACCGGAAAGCCAAAGGGAAAGAAGAGAAAGCAGACCGAACTAAACTGATGTGTACCCACTGCAAGAAGAAAGGACACGACGTCGGGTCCTGCTTCAAGTTGCTTGGTTATCCCGAATGGTGGGAGGATCGGAACCAGTCAAATAATGGAGCTGCTGGCCGCGGAGGGGGGGGGGGGGGGGGGGTCAGGACGCATGTCGTTATCACAACCGGTGAAGGTTCATCTTCTGCGGCTGGGGTGACCGGACTGCCTTCGCTAAACCAGGAGCAGGTTCAAGCTTTGCTTAGTTTAATTGATGCTGAAACTCGTTCATCTGATCGTATGGCGGGTAAGTATGATTGGATTATTGACACAGGGGCATCCCATCACGTTACAGGTGATATTACTTGTTTGACTAATAGAACCCGTATTTGTACACGTATGGTGGGACTGCCATACGGGCGAGCAGTTGCGGCTGTCTTGGAGGGCCGTGTTTGTTTTTCTGAACAATTCATTTTGGAACATGTGCTTTATGTGCCAGGATTAAAATGTCATTTAATCTCGGTATCACAACTGATTGATCAATCTACTTGTTTAGTTACTTTCACTGATTCGTTTTGTGCCATACAGGACCGTCACTCGAGGAGCCTGATTGGAGCCGGTGAGAGACGAGATGGGCTTTATTATTTCCGGAAAGTTCCTATGTTGCATGCTGTTCACACGTCAGAATTGCCTGAGTTCGAACTGTGGCATCGACGCTTGGGGCACCCGTCTGATCGTGTGATTAAATTATTGCCTATTATTAGTACTACTTCTACCAAACTTTTGAATAAACCTTGTGAGGTGTGTCCACAAGCCAAGCAAGTGCGTGATTCTTTTCCTATCAGTAGTAATAAAGCAAGTAGAATTTTGGAACTTATTCAGTGTGATTTGTGGGGTCCTTATAAAACCCCTTCTACTTGTGATGCCGTTTATTTTATGACATTGGTTGATGATTATTCTCGGGCTGTGTGGGTGTATTTGCTGCGTGATAAAAGGGAAGTTTATTGGTTTTTCCTTACTTACATTGCCACCGTTGAAAAACAATTTGAAGTGTCTGTTAAAATTGTACGTAGTGATAATGGCACCGAATTCAGATGTCTGTTGCCATATTTTGAGGACCATGGCATTATGTTTCAGACGTCTTGCGTTCATACCCCTCAACAAAATGGCCGGGTGGAACGTAAGCATCGTCATATTTTGAACGTGGCCCGCGCACTGATGTTTCAGGCAAATATTCCTATTTTATTGTGGGGTGAGTGTGTACTCACAGCGGTGCATCTTATTAATCGTACACCCTCGGGTATTCTACAAGGAAAAACACCCTATGAGGTGCTTACCGGCAAAGCACCTGATTTTCATCAGCTCCGGGTGTTTGGGTGTTTAGCCTTTGCTCGAAATACAAATACAGGTGGTGATAAATTTTCTTCTCGTAGCCGAAAATGTGTTTTTATTGGATATCCTACCGGCAAGAAAGGGTGGAAAATGTATGACCATGATACGGGAGATATTTTTGCCTCACGTGATGTACAGTTTCATGAAGATGTTTTTCCATTCTCAGAGGTTTCTAATGTCTCTCCCTCAGTAACGGAAACTGCTGCACCTATTGTTTTTGATGATGTCGCTCCAGAACATTCTGCCAATGAGACAACTCATGATACAGGTTCTAGTTCGGCCGTGGCAACTTCTGACAGCACTTCTCTTGGCCGCGGTATGCGGTCTAAGCGACCATCAGTATTACTTCGAGATTATGTTGCTCATTTAAGCCCATCTCCGTCCTCGCTCTCCGACTGCTCTTCAGGTACGCGGTATCCTCTTAGCCATTACGTTTCCTGTGATAAGTATTCTGTTTGTCACCGCATATTTCTTGGAGCTATTCTTGCAGGAAATGAACCCCGTTCCTTCAAGGAAGCTATGACTGATGATGGCTGGCGTTCCGCCATGAAAAATGAAATCCAAGCTCTTGAAAATAATCACACATGGGACATGGTGCCACTTCCCCACGACAAAAAGGCCTTAGGATGTAAATGGGTTTACAAAATTAAATATAAATCTGATGGCACCATTGAACGTCTCAAGGCACGGTTGGTTGTCTTTGGGAATCATCAGGAGGCAGGTATCGATTATACTGAAACATTTGCTCCCGTGGCCAAAATGGTGACAGTACGATTACTTTTGACTGTTGCCTCTGCTCGCAACTGAGAGATACATCAAATGGATGTCCATAATGCCTTTCTCCTAGGCGACCTGGCTGAGGAGGTCTACATGCGTCCTCCACCAGGATTTTCTTCATCTCAACGTGGGCTGGTTTGCCGTCTGCGCAAGTCTTTATATGGTCTTCGCCAGGCCCCGCGGTGTTGGTTTGCTAAACTGGCCACCGCGCTTAAACAATATGGCTTTCTCCAATCCTATTCTGATTATTCCTTGTTTACTTTGCGCAAGGATGATGTGCGGATACATGTGCTTATATACGTGGATGATCTGATTATTGCGGGAAATAATTCTGCGGCTTTGTCTCAATTTAAAACTTATTTGCACTCCTGTTTTCACATGAAAGATCTCGGGGTTCTTAAATATTTTATTGGCATTGAAGTAGCCCGAGGAGCTGATGGAATTTTTCTTTGTCAAAGCAAATATATATTGGATATTATATCTGAGGCAGGTCTTCTTGGAGCTAAGCCCTCTTCCTTTCCCATGGAACAGAATCATTCTTTGGGCCTTGCTACGGGTGACTTATTGACTGATCCGGAATCCCATCGACGTCTTGTTGTTCGTCTAATATATTTATCTTTTACTCGGCCGGATCTGGCATATTCCGTACATATTTTATCTCAGTTTATGCAGGCCCCGCGACGAGAACACTGGGGTGCGGCTCTACGAGTTGTCAGACATCTCAAAGGCTCTCCCGGACAAGGAATTCTTTTGAGGTCCTCCTCTAATTTGGGTCTATCAGGCTGGTGTGATTCTGATTGGGCTAGCTGTCCGCTTACTAGACGATCTCTGTCTGGATGGTTAGTTTTTCTTGGAGGCTCCCCTGTTTCCTGGAAGACTAAGAAACAACACACTGTGTCTCGATCTTCCACTGAAGCTGAATATCGCTCGATGGCGGCCATTACTGCAGAATTAAAGTGGGTGAAAGGTCTTCTTCTCACCCTCGGTGTTGCTCATCCGAGGCCCATTCCCTTACACTGTGACAATCGTTCTGCTCTGCATATCGCACATAATCCTGTATTTCATGAACGCACCAAGCACATTGAAGTGGATTGTCATTATGTCCGTGACGCACTGCAAGCAGGGATGATCTCGGCCCAACATGTTTCTACTACTGATCAGTTAGCAGACATCTTTACGAAGGCACTCGAACAACGACAATTTAGTCATTTACGACGCAAGTTGGGCATGTTTGATCCCCATGCTCCAACTTGAGGGGGGTATTAGATTAAATTGGGCCTTCCTAATTGTAAATATGGGCTAAGGGCTCTACTTAATCTCTTGCTATCGTATGTATATATAGGGGCTTAGGCTAATCGGAAAAGGGGACTGAATTTGACCAATTAATAAAATATTTACTTCCTAATTTGAGAATTAAATAGTGTTTGTAACAAAAATTGACTAATAAGGCAGAAATACAAAAAATAATGGTTAACCATACGAGCTCTTAACTTAAATACGTCAGACATAGAGTTTGCATTCACATTTTTAGCCTAGACATATCTCTTCGATGTCAATTAATGAGATGACCATCTTTAAGAGTTTAGAAAATCATTGAGAGTTTGGAAAATCTTTGATAAGGGTTGATGAGTTGATGCCTTTTACTTCATGCAATTCTACACGAGAATAAAGTTATATATAAATCACATACTCATGAGGCACATTGTTAGACAACATTTGAATAAATTAAATGATGTTCCAGTGATATTTTAGTTTGATATCTCGTGCAATGCACGGGTGAAAGACTAGTGTAGGTTAAATCCTCAACCTCTTCCTCATCATCTGGGGTGCCGTGACCCTCGCCCTCGGCTGTCGGGGGATCCTCCTCCGCATCGTCATCCTCAAGCTCATCTTCAACCTCGGGAATGTCACATTGTTGGTAAAACCGTCCATCTTGTTGGGACAATAGTTGTTGTAGTTGCTCATCGGACATTGCATCCGCATCTCTCCGGTGATAGTCCGTTTCAAAATTATCTCGGGTTTGAGAAGAAGACCCGGCGCGTCCTTTACCTTTACCTTTGTGTGAACTAGGATGATTCCTCGCAATCTCCTTGGTTCGGTTCCAGCCGAGGTTACCCATATCTACAGAAGTTCTACCACGTTGCATCTTAAAAATGTAACAAATATTAAATTCTAACAATTATGTTAATATTAGTACAATAGTAATGCAACTAATAAGAAATGTTCTAAATTTTATTTTTTATTTAAACCTATTTTATTAAATACTATTTTTTCAATCCAACTATTTTTTTTTAAAATAAATTTCGAACTATTTTTCAAATCTAACTAGTATAATTTCAAAAATTGAACATTTTTTTTTTAAATAAAATTCAACTACTTTTTTTTAAATGAATAAATTCGAAGTAAAAAATATAACTAGTTAACTAATTGTTGTCTAACAAGTGTGACTTTAATTAATTGGAAAATGAGAAATGTAACAACTAACAATTAAGTACTTTTATACTTAAATGACAAATATACCAATGAACTAATAGGAAAATGTAAAATGTACCAATTAATTAATGAACTAATATTAATAAAAAATGTATGAATGTGTAAACCAAATTAATGGGAGTGTGAGTGTATAAGTAATAGGATGAATTTAATTACTATTAATTAAAGTGTAACTAATATATAATATATAAGTATTGATGAGTAGTACACTTATATTTAATACTTTAATATATATATATATATATATATAAGTAGATAATAAGTTTATAAGTAGATATAATAATTGTTTAACTAATATATAATATAATGTTTATAGTATATAATATATAAGTATATTACTATAAGATGAGTAATACACTTATATTTAATACTTTAATATATATAAGTATATATTAAGTAGATGTAATATGTAAATGTAAGTAAATAACAATAATATAATAAGTAGATAATAAGTAGATATTAAATAAATATGAAGTATATATAAAGTAGATAATAAGTATGTATTATGTAGATAATTAAATTTTAGTAATATATTATATGTATTTATAAGTAGATAATTAATATATAAGTAGATATAATAATTGTATAAATATATGTAGAGAGAATTGAAGAAGATGAAGATGGAGATGATTAAGAATATTAGAGATTAGAGAGTAGGAAGATCAAACCCCCATGGACCCCCTCCCAGCCCTCCAACGGCTATAGAGCCGTTTGGAGGTGTTCCCCAACGGCTAGGAGGCCTGAATTTAATTTAATTTTTTTTAAATATGGCCATCGAGGCCCGGACCGGGCCCGAACCGGCCGGGCCGGTTCATCATTTGGGAGGCCCGGGAACCGTCCCTGAACAGTACCGGGACGGGTGGCCCGAACCGGGCACAGACCCGAGTATCAGGCCGGGCTGGGCCGTAACAGTACCGGGCCGGTTACGGGCCTGTTAACCCGGCCCGAGTCCATCCCTATTTGTGAAGGTCTGGGGTTAATTAGCGTCTTTAGGGATTCTGTTCTGGTGTGAATACCAAATGATCAAAATTGCTCCGTTTACTACTTGACTCAATCGATTTGTTCACTTTGTTTATTTTGACGACAAACAATCACTTCAAACTTCTTTTTAGAAGAGAGAATGAATTAAAATACACCTAAACTATATCTTTGGAGAAAGTGGAACTGTGGCTTAGTTGTTAATTGGACGAAGTTTACATTGTTTTGTAGCCACCCAATGGATTGCAAATGCTAAGCTCATACATTCTTTATATTTGAGACTTGAGAGGTCGAGGAATGTATTTTGAAATAATGAAATGTGACTAAAGATTAATGAATAAAAGTGTGGGTTTTCAAATCTAAGTTATATACAATTGAAATAATGAATGTATTGCAAATGCTAAGCTCATACTTGCTTTTATTAATTGTGGGTTTTCAAATCTAAGTTATATACAATTTATTAAGTAATATAGTATACACAATATATAATTATTTATATAATTATATATAGAATATGTTATGTAATGTGTTACTAGTCACCTAATTGTTGCCTACGCGTGCGCCGGGCGCCGGACGCCTTATCACCTATGCGATATGGCTATTGGCTGCAAAGGCGGTGGTGGGGGTGGGGGGGGGGGGGGGGGGGGCGTGCCTGGGCCCTGGCCAAGGGTAATTGTTTTTTGTATTATATAGAGTTCTAAAACGGAAATTAGAATTGGCCCAGAGCAAAAAAATATGGCCCAATGTAGAATCATTCTGGCCTAGTGAAAAAATATAGCCTAGTGACAATCTAAAGAAAAGATGCGCAACAGCCAAGCCAGAGGTGGACACGCATCACGCACGCCTCAACGGCAACCACTGGGATTTCAATTCGCCGGACGCGCCTCTCCGCCGCTTGATCGCTCTGCCGCTCTCACCGCTGGAGGCCGGACGCCCATCCTCTGCCGCTCTCCGGATGCTCCTGCTCCTGCTCTTCTGTGCAGGCTGATGCTCTGAGGAAGACTCTACTCTTCTTCCGAGCCCAAAGGTCGGGCTATTTGAGGTCATTGGGGAGGCATAACCCTATTGCTATTGAGTGGCTTCTCTGGAGGACTCCAGTGACGACTCAGTCCATAGTTAGCTTTTTTTTTTTTTGCGTTTAAAACGCGTTTTAAACACGTACCGTTTTTTTGAACAAAAAAACGCGTTTAAAACGAAAAATAATGTCGGTCCATTTAAAAAGGAAAAAAACTTCCACTTCCCGTATAAAACGTATATTTCCCGTATTTTACAAAAAATAAAAACATCATTTGATCACTTGAATGAATACATCAAATGAATAGCAGATCAACAATAGTTTCAAAGCAAAAAAAGAAAACATCATCCCTGTGACCCCGTGTTTTTGTATTGTTACAATACAAAATATACAATTGTTAAATACTAAAGTTAATTGCGTGATGACTAAAGACTAAAATCTAAAATACTAGTACGTATTAGATTTGTGATGTTCTTGTCCAAACAAGCATATCAAAATTAAGGTTGTTCTAAACTGACTTTTTTAGTATAAACTTTTACACATAAACAATAATAAGTGTAGCAGTCACACAACTTTCTCATGTCATCCGTCATCTATGTGAAAATGATGAGTTTAACTTGAGTGTTACTTGATGATCATATAAAGATGATGATGGTGTTAACTTGGCCCCATTCTATCGTTATTATGCCTTATTTTCTGATATTACTTTGCAAAATTATGTTTTGGACTTAATTACTCCATACTATTTTTACTTTTGCCATCGACTTATGCAATTACAAATTATTCTTTTATGTAGTAATGTGATCTGCTACTTCAATATGTGTACACTCTTATTTCTTTTTATTATTATATGTTATGTTATGAAGTATATAATTTAAATGTTACTTTAGGCTTAATCATTATTTCTTTTTTGTCATGAACTTATGTTATTATGAATGCATTTTTTGATGAAGTAATGAGATATTATATTTGAATGTGTGTGTATGTTGATTATCCTTTATGCTATATGTTTTTTATGCTCTAAAAACTAGTACAATAATTTAATCATTCAAAACAAGACCCGTATTTTTAACCCGAATTTTTCTAAGAGATGCCGTATTATACACGTATACATATTTACACGTTTTATAAAAGTCAACGTATTTTTGCCGAATTTTTGACAGTATTTTTGTACAAATTACCGAATAAAACACTTAATCATTACCGAATATTAAAGCACGTTTAATTCCCGTACCGTATTTAACTAACTATGACTCAGTCTAAGGACCTAAGGTAATACAGAGTAGTTTCTTTTTGTTTTTACAATTTATGGTTTAATTTAAGTGTTTTAAATCTTATTTTAGTTTGTGTTAGTGTGTACAATTGATTTGTGTGCTTTGAATTGTGAAATGGAAAATTAGGAATGTCAAATGTAATTTTGAATTTCTTAAAATAATAATATGAATTTTATGAATTAAAATAAAATATTGATTAGTTTTTATTTTTTTGCTAATTTTAGTAGGTATGGCTCCTCAATCTACTTCCAAAAAGGAAAAAATCACATTGCGTTCGTTTTATAAGCCCAGTACAAGCGCACATAATAGACAAGAGTTAAATGTCTTAATTGAAATTCTTAATATCTCATCCGCTCTATAGGAAGTAGTTTCTGATTCACTTGTAATTGAACGGGATCCAGGAAAATGGAAAATGATGAGTGATTAACCGTTAGAGAAAAGAGATGAAATTAGACGATCTTTTTTTACGCTTGGACCTTATCAACCGAAATTTTTAATGGATTTTAATAATTATGTTCACACTAATTAAGCTTTTAAAATTTTAATATAATGTTTTTAGTGTATAGTTGACCTCAGGTGAATATCCGTCCTAGCTACGTCCCTGGTTGGCTGGCGCCGCTACTCGACTAGCCGTCGTGACAAGTATGAATAGATTTATTTAATAAATAAATATACATGTTATAAAATCTAGGCATGGTTAATATCTTTTACTTATTTTCAAAATAATGATTCTCAAATTTAAAATTTGGGAAAAATTATGATTATCGCCATAAACAGAAGAATTGACATAATATTATTTTGACTAGAAGAATGGCCATTGTACCTATAAAACTTGATATTTGACTATCAAATAAGCTTGATTTGATGGTTTGTATTGAGCTTTTGATGATTTGTGTTGAAATATAAACTAGAATAATAATAATGATAGTAATAATGGAGAGAGGAGAAAGGAATTTTCTTCGTATTTCATTGGAGGGTTAAGTCCCTATATATATACATTACAAAGAGAATATTCCCATAAGATTCTATACAATAATAATATCCTAGAGTATATTTCTAAAATATTCTAAAGCATATTCTAAAGATAGAAGAATATTCTAAAGCATATTATAAAGTACTCCCTCCGTCCCCCTGTTATTGTCTCATTGCGGTTTACGATGCTTGACCGACGATAAAGCAAACAGATCCCTGTCCGCACTCAAATTATTTTTAGAAAAAGAAAATTACATATTCAGAAACTACATTAAAAGATTTACAAAGTCGCAAAAGCCAGAATCAAATTTGATAAAAATTTGATACATAAAGTAAGAGATTAAGAGTGATTTGTGTTGACCAAGTGAATAGGAAATGAGACAATAACAGGGGGACAGAGGGAGTATATTCTAA